CTTTGTTTAAAGTAGTTTTAATTGGATTCTGTCACATGTAAGGCAAAGAGTGCTGATTAAAAATAAGTATTCCCACCATTTAAAGTCATCAAATGGAAGCCTGAACTTCAAAGAGATCAATGGACTTGTCAGGAACATGTAGAAAAACTTATGAAGGAAAAATTCAGACCACACTTCACACTTATCAATTTCTTGACAATGAATCTGATGGACTAATTTTTTAAATTTCTATGATGTTGTCTTCAGGGGCAGGAAAATTTAAACCCATCTTTCCCATTGGGCTTTACACTAAGAACAATGAAACTTAAATGATTCTAAAGCATGGAATCCTGGTTAGAACAAGAGCACAATTATACAGAATCTTCATTTTAAAAGCTAAGTGAGTATATTTCTCACAACCCTTTGAAATGGAGTGAACACAGTTGTTTCTTAGTTGCAAAGTCATGGCTGACTCTTTGCAACCCCATGCACTGTAGCCCACCAGTCTCCTCTGTCCATAGGATTTCTCAGGCAAGAATCCTGGAGTGAGTTGCCATTTCTTTCTCCAGGGGATCTTCCTGACCCAGGGATGGAACATGCATCTCTTGTTTAGCAAGCACATTCTTTATCACTGAGCCACCAGGTAAGCTCCAGTGAACACAGTATGAAATCCAAAAGAAAGTCAGTTACTGAAGCACAGTGTGACCAGCCCTGGGACTTCCCTGGTGGTTCAGTGGTTAAGAATCTGCCTTCCAAAGAAGGGAATGTGGGTTCAACACCTGATTGGGGAAGTAAGATCCCACATGCCATGGGCCAGGTAAGCCCATGCATTACAGCTACAGAGCCCACATGCTCTGGAGCCTGTATGCCATAGCTAAGACCCGTTGCACCCAAATAAATAATAAATAAATAAATAAATAAATAAATAAATAAATAATTATTTAAACATAGGATCAGTCTTCCATGCTCCCAATGTGTGGGGCCCAGGTTTGATCCTGCTCAGGAAAATGGACCCTATGTGCTGAAACTAAGAGTTTGAATGTTGCAACTAAAGATCCAGAATGTTGCAACTTAAAAAAATAGAAAAGATCTCGCATGCCTCAAGAAGAAAAAAAAATCAGATAAATATACTCTCAGATCTCCTTTAGGACCTGAAAATCTCCTACTAAATCATCGGAATGACAAGAGTTGGTGGAAGCTTTGACTCAAGGAAGTGTCATTTGCTGAGTAATTTTTAAAAGGATGTCACTTTCTTAGAAGAAGAGCCTGAGGACAGAAACTGACGTTTTGGTCACTGAAATACCTCCGGGACTTAGCCTTTTGTCTAAAAAAATGCTCAAAAGACAGTTGTTAAATAAACTAAATGAGTTATGGGAAAAAATAAAAATAAAAAAATACAATCAGCCTTATCACAAAATAATGAGTATGAGTGTATCAGATGCTCAGGGCCAACGTGGGGACCAATCCTAGCTTCTATTTCTCACCTGAGTTTCTACAATTTCTAAAATGTCATTATCTGTTCTGTTTAGAGGAAACATAAATCTAGTAAATAAGAAAATACATGAACTAAGAAAGGTTCTAACTTATCTGTTCCATTTTTAGCACCTAGGGGAAAGTCCAAAGGACAAAGTATGTTTGTCCAATGGCCACAGATGAGTCAAGTTTACAAGTACATTACCTGCATATGTGCTCAGTTGTATCTGACTCTTTGCGGCCCCATGGACTATAGTCCACTAAGCTCCTCTGTCTGTGGGATTCTCTAGGCAAGAATATTGGAATGGGTTGCCATTTGCTCCTCCAGGGGGTCTTCCTGACTCAGGGATCAAACCCGAGACTCAGACATCTCCTGCATTGGCAGGCAGATTCTTTACTACTGAGTCATCTCGGAAGCCCAAACACATTACAGGCAGTACAAAATACCTAAGATTCCAAAGAAAGGATACTTTCTAAGAAAGCAGTACTAGGAGCTTCTTCAGGTATAGAGTACGATAGTCTGTGTTTAGGAAGACGAGTTATGGAGCCAGCTGCTATTTCCAATCTCCAATCTGCCATTTATGACTTTGTGATCTTGGGCAAGTCACTTATGTCTGTGCCTCAGTTTCTTGACCTATAAAATAGGAATAAAGACAGGGATCCCACAAGTTGTAGTTGAGAAAAGTAAGTGAGCAGGTGGATTTTATGCACTTGGAACAAGACCTGCATCATTAGATGTTAGCTCTTATTATTAAGAGGTCATAAATCACTTAGGTTTGTAGCCTCAAATGAAACTCATGCACGTGCACACACACACACACACACATACATCTTTTGTTTTTAATAAAAAAGTAAACATAAATTAACAGAGTAAATTTTCATTAAAGAAGCTAATGGCATAGTATAGATCAGCTGGGAGGATGGGTTTACTTCACTCATTATTTCTGATACTGTTCCTTGTAAAACAGTAGGACCTCATTAGATACATACATTTAAAAGGAACATTAAACATATATAACGTATAACCATGCAGTTTGCATAGCATTGTTTTTTAAAATTATTATTATTCAAAGTGATTTTTAGACTATGGGGGCTGTGTGAATGCTATTCTTCAGGAAATCAATAACTCTGTGCAGTCCCTTGGAACCGCTGGGTCATAAACAACTACCAGTATTCAGATGATTGGGAACTGTTCAGGGAAAAGACAGCAGCTTTGAAGTACCCTCAAGTATAAGAAGGGCATGTAGAAACAATTAATCATAAACAAGTCATTGAAATTAAAAGTGTATTCTTAAATAGTTTCTTGATGAAGAACAAATGCCTCATTAATCTGGAACATATTGACTTGAGAACACAAAGTAAGTCAAAGAGAGTAATGACTGACATGACATGGAACACGACATGCTGTGTGTTCCCACCTCAAAAGCTTTAGAAGAACAGACTCCCCAAAAGGTCACTCAATACAGCAAATTGAACAGGAACTCAGCGTCACCCAAAGACGCAAACGCAAGCTTCCAAAAATCTATATAACAGAGGACATTGTGTACCTGCATCACTGAAACTTTTCCATCTATAGATTCTGAGTGCATCACATTTATTTCAGAATGAAAAAACCCAAGATCTAAAAAAGTAAACATAAAACATATATGCACATAAAAAACAATGACATCTAATTTTTAAGAAACTTGGTGTCTGTTTACCCTACTCCATCTCCCAAGTTTTACTTAAATTTGTGAATAGAAATTTAAAGCCAACACAAATTGCTTTGAAGATAATTCTAACAACATAATTGGATGTGGATTCTCTTTGAAAGACTAAAGTTGCATTTCTTAAAGGAACATATAGTACTAAGAAAATAATAGATGCCCATCAATATGGTTACATTAAAAATTACATACATAATTTCAAATGACAGATCAGACATTTGGGGATGACTATGAAGTATTTTAAAGACTAAATCTTGTTTGGAAACAGCCATTAAAATATACCATATATTCTTCTGAAAATCTTCAGAATTTCTAATTCATAGAGAAAGGGACATTTTCTGTCTCAATCATTACTAAATCCCCAGAACCGTGCTTCGAGGTAATCAGTACTTCCTAGGTACTTGATGCATAAAAAACTTCAGCCATGGCTGAAACTATAACTTGGCTGTACATGTTATGAAGGATAGGGAAGCCTGGAGTGCTATACCCCATGGGGTCGCAAAGAGCCGGACATGAGTTAACAACTGAACAAAATGTATGTTATGATCTATAATCTTTACAGTCAGCCTCAGGACCTTACACTCGGCAGCTGGCTCCTTACACATGGCATTCCACATGTTTCCTATATCCAGCATGATGTCCATGGATACATCTCCTCACAATGAAGAGAAAGAAAACACCATGAAGACTGGTAGTAGTTTTAGATGAATATCCTGTGGAAAAGATTTCCCAAATGTCATTTTCTATAGCATGCAATAAAAAGTTATGGTAATTTTTCAAAGGCTGGAATACATTCATCTGAAAATTAAAATCTGACATGATTTTCAGGGTCAGATTCCAGGTAGAATGTCAAACTATCTTTAAATTGTATACTTCATTTTAGACTTCAAAACAAGGGAATGAAAATGACATCTTTCTTCTTTCTAGAAAGATGAAACAGTGACATGAAGAGAAAGCAGAGACATCACTCTGAGCAACTATAATCAGGCTTTATTTTTAGTAATCTTTGAAACCTACCCTTCCCAAGATTTTAAACTTAAAAGCAGGATGGGTGAAGAGACAGCACAGGAACATTTCCTATTTATTGAATGTATACCCATCTTGTGATAGAATACAAATTATGATAGCCCATGTTCATGAGAAACAAACAATCCTAGTTATGGGGACATATCTAGTAAGCAGGAAACATAATCATACACTCCCTTATATTCTCTTAAGTATTAAATTGTGTAGAACAAATTTTAAATGGCTTGGAGGTGAGAGATAATTCGACCACATAGCACAGTATCCAGAAAATATTGTTTTGTTTCATTATTTACTTGCTAAGTGGTACTTGACTCTTTGCAACCCCAGGGACTGCAGCCCACCAAGCTCCTCTGTCCATGGGATTTCCCAGGCAAGAATACTGGAGTGGGTTGCCATTCCCTTCTCCAGGGAATCTTCCCATCCCAGGGATTGAACCCACATCTCCTGCATTGGCAGGAAGATTCTTTACCACTGAGCCACCTGGGAAGCCCCTAGCAAATATTAGACATGCAATAAATACTTGATAGGTCACTGAAAGCTTGAATGAATGAGTGAATGAATAATGCTTTTAGGAGTGAATCCTGTTTAGAGTCCTGGAGAATGACGCCCAGGACTTGGTTGATGCTTCCACAAACGACATTTCAGTTTTTCCTACGTCTCCATCTTCATGTACATGACAGAAATTGTATCCACCTTGTATAGAAAAGGTGGAAAGGTAGAAAATCCAACTGATCTCTTCATAGTATTGGTGGTCTTGGAGGCTCATATTGCAATGACTCCTGTGGCCTGACCTATCAGAGTCTTCCTGTTGGGAACTCACTCTGAAAGACTCGGAGGATTGTAGTCAATGAACTGTTTGCACTGCAGCCTGAGGCCATGCAAGATCAAGGCCAGGGCTCCCATCTGAGGCCCTGTGGAAAAATAAGCAGAATAATTGAGTAGAGATGAGAGAAAACTAGAATAAAGCTGATTAAAAAGCAAAGTCCTGAAAAGCACGGCCCTTAAAAGAGAGACAACTTGAGAGAGGAGGACTCTCTTTTTAGGGAAGGGCAGACTCAGTTCTGTAACTTCAGTTTTCTGTTTTCCCTGGATTCCAGGAAGACCTCTTTTCCTCATTTTAATTAACTACTTTGGGTCAGTTTCTATTCTTTATGACTAAAGGAGCCCAATTTAAACACAACTTTCAGCAATTTATTCTTTTTTCCCATTGGAAATTGCTAATATTGTCTTTCCCTAACTTTAGATAATATAAACATTGGCTTAGAATTTCTTAACATCTTCTTAACTATTTCGTTACCCTCAGAGAATTCACATACTTTTGTAGGATTTCACAGCAATTTCAAGAGAAAAGAAGAATTTATTATTTCTGTGAATTTCTATTCCATTCAAAATGTTTAATTTAAAACATTTCAATTGTCATAAACCAATCTAAGCATAAAAAATTACTGTCTATAACTTTGAAAATAATGCTTTGGGCTAGCAACAGAAACATTTAATAAAACAAAATATTTCATCAGTCTTATAGAGCTTTTGTGTAAATTTAACAAATTTAGCATTTAAACAAGGCCCAAGTACCACTGGAAATGTTTTAAAAAGAATCTGTGATCCAGTTGTTCATGTCCACAAAGCAAGATTGAACAGAATTTTTTTCTCTACATATTTTATCAAAGTGCTCAATTTTGGCTTTGGTTTTTTTCTTTTTTTTTAATGCTCTTTGTTAAAACAACTTAGGGGTATTAGTGTTTGAAAGTTAACCTCTGGTATGTGGCTGTTGGGCTTTGTTTGTTTGTTTATTTTCTTTGTTTAATTTGTACATCTTGGTCATCTGAATGATCTACGTGTTCTGAAGCTGTCTGCTTGAATGCCCAAACCTTTATCCCCAAAGGACCTGAAGCTAGACCTGTCAGGATAAGGCAGGTGTGGAGGGAGCCACCCTAACCCTGCTGCCAGTGACCTATTGTACTTTGCTCCCGGAAACTTCATTAAGAAAAGGTGCCAAGTTACACGCTCAGTGAGAAGATAGATCCTTGAGTCCCTGCAGAACAAAAGACCTCTGAGAGTGTTACCTACAACAAATGATGCTTACGAGAAGCACAGGCTAAAAGCAAGTGAAATTGTAAACAGTCTTGGTGACCTCATCACCTACAGGAGAGAGAAGGCTAATAGTCTTGTTCTTGGAATACTTATTCTGTTAAGATTTCGCAAAACAGCTTGACAAGTAGGTTATTAGGTTTCCTGTTGGGACTCAAGTCATAGACTGCAAATAAACCCCCAACAGGAAGGACACCTTAAAGTGTTTATGCTATGATCAAAAGGAATGCCTTGCTTAATACTTACATGCATGTGCTATACTGTGCTCAGCTGCTTCCATCGTGTCTGGCTCTTTGCGATCCTATGGACTGTAGCCCACCAGGCTCCTCAGTCCATGGGATTTTCCAGGGCAGAATACTGAAAGGTGTTGCCTTGCCCTCCTGGAAGGGATCTTCCCTGTCCAGGGATCAAACCCAAGTCTACTACATCTCCTCCACTGCAGGCTGGTTATTTACCACTGAGTCACCAGGGAAGCTCATTTATATGCACAAAGCCCAAATCACATCTAAAATTTTCCATCTAGCAATCAGATTTGGACTTGAAAAAAATAAATGTATAAAGATTATAAAAGAAAAATTGAAAAAAAATTGAACTATGAAACAAGTATTGTATCTAGAAATTCAAATCTAATTCCAAATTGAGACTAATGGATCTATCGTATGTTTCTGGTTTCAAACCATAAGTCCCTGGAAGTGAAGAAAGGAGATTTTGTAAAGCGTCTTCCCTTTTCTTAAATGTTTACATTTTGACAGATATCAAGTTGTTCTTCTATTTTTCCCCCCATGTAATGAACAGATCATTCCTTCTCTCTTTATCAAACCTCAATGTCCTCAGACCTCAGTCTGCAAGTGGCATAAAAGTGCAACAATATCTGCATAAAAAGTACAGGTTTCTCTCTGCTGTGCTGTGCTTAATCACTCAGTTGTGTCCAACTCTATGGACTGTAGCCCACCAGGCTCCTCTGTCCATGGGATTCTCCAGGAAAAGAATACTGGAGAGGATTGCCATGCCCTCTCCTCCAGGGGATCTTCCCAACCCAAGGATCGAACCCAGGTCTCCTGCATTGCAGGAGCTTCTTTACTGTCTGAGCTACCAGAGACGTGCAAGAAAACTGGAGTGGGTAGCCGATCGCTTCTCCATTCTCTCTGTTACCGGATTATAAAGAAGAAAGAATCTTAGGCAGAGTTTTTCTACCACCCAAGAGATTCTGTCATTTTCTAGGGTCTTGAGTATTGAAAAGTTAATTGTTTATGCAGGTTCAGATACTCCTGGCTTTTTGCCAGGTGCATGGGGCATCAGGGTGCCTGCCTATCTGAAGCCACTGACTCTTAAGGAGAATATTAGTTTATAGAGCTATCCATTATCCACATTCTATCCAGGAAAGAGACTACATTATCCTCCATATTTTCTTCATTCTCATCTAGCAGAGTCCTTTTGGGTCTTCAGAACGAAACTTCCTCCTCTCTCCTCCTTTCTCCAAATGCAAATCAATGCAAATATATGCCCGGGAGAATTGCTGAATCCAAAAAGCTGTTCTCAGTTTAGCCTTAGAGAAGACCACAGTCTGCATCCACGATTGCTCTTTTGGAATACCAGACTGAAACAGTTAATAAAGATGAGATGCAGCCTACATCTTTTGTATTTTCAGTAAGATGAGCACCATGGTTCCTTCTAGCTTGCCAAAAATATTGAATGGAAATGTGCTGAACTAGGGGCAAAACTTTGTGCTGGCTAGGTAAAATGACATGTGCTACCGTTCACAGGAAATAATGGCAAACAGATTTTATGTCTTGTCACATAGATGAAAAAAGAGAGAAAAACTGTAGAATAAACACCAGTTGTGAACTCCACTGAGAGAATTAATAAGTGTTATACATTAAAGAGATGACCTAAAGTGGATTATAACTGCAACAAGATGTAATCTGTTTTAAGCAGTGTAATTTTATGTCATCTGGAATTACACATGGGATATATAGTACAAGGAACTTGGAAGTGGAAAAAATGAGTTTTCAGCAGAAGTGTTGAGTTGGCCCACTGATTCTAGATTTGCTACCAAATAGTGGGAAGAATCAGGACAGATCAAGGACAAAAGGGCACCCAACTGAAGACTTACAGAGTGAAAGTATTAGTCACTTGGTCATGTCCGACCCTGCAACCTCATGGACTGTAGACCACCAGGCTCCTCTGTCCATGGAATTCTCCAGGCAAGAATACTGCAGTGGGAATCAAAAAATGGGCCAAAATCTAAACAGACATTTCTCCAAAGAAGACATACAGATTATTAAAAAACACATGAAAAGATGCTCAACATCACTCATTATCAGAGAAATGCAAATCAAAATCACAATGAGGTACCTCTCATGAGGTACCACAATGAGAACCACATTCTCACACCGGTCAGAATGGCTACTATCAAAAAGTCTACAAGCAATAAATGCTGGAGAGGGTGTGGAGAAAAGGGGACCCTCTTACACTGTTGGTGGAATGCAAACTGGTATAGCCACTATGGAGAACAGCGTGGAGATTCCTTTAAAAACTGGAAATAGAACTGCCATATGACCCAACAATCCCACTGCTGGGCAAACACACCGAGGAAATCAGAATTGAAAGAGAAACGTGCACCCCAATGTCCATCACAGCACCTTTTACAATAGCCAGGACATAGAAGCAACCCAGATGTCCACCGGCAGATGAATGGGTAAGAAAGCTGTGGTACATACACACAATGGAATATTACTCAGCTATTAAAAAGAACATATTTGAATCAGTTTTAATGAGGTGGATGAAACTGGAGCCTATTATACAGAGTGAAGTAAGTCAGAAAGAAAAACACCAATACAATATATTAATGCATATATATGGAATTTAGAAAGATGGTAATGATAACCCTATATGCGAGACACAGATATAAAGAGCAGACTTGTGGACTCTGTGGGAGAAGGTGAGGGTGGGATGATTTGAGAGAATACCACTGAAACATGTATATTACCATATGTGAAACAGATCACCAGCCCAAGTTCAATGCATGAAACAGGACACTCAAAGCTGGTGCACTGGACCAAACCTGAGGGATGGGATGGGGAGGGAGGTGAGAGGGGGGTTCAGGATGGGGGACACATGTACACCTATGGCTGATTCGTGTCAATGTATGGCAAAAACCACTATAATATTGTAAAGTAAGTAGCTTCCAATTAAAATTTAAAAAAAGAAAAAGAATACTGGAGTGGGTAGCCATTTCTTCTCCAGGGGATCTTCCTGACCCAGGAATCAAACCCAGTTCTCCCACATTTCAGGCAGATTCTTTACCATCTGAGCCACCAGCAATGCCAAGACTTGCAAAGTAGGAGCTAAAACAGAGGGGAAAAAAGGAAGTAGATTTTTGAATGAAGGAAGGTTACAATAGCCTAAAAGGAAAAAATAAGAAAGAAGGAGCATAAACTGGAAAATGATGACTCCCTAATTAAGAAAAACTAAATTTAGAACATAGTATGTATGCTTTATAAATCCTCAATTATCACAGCAAAGAGGAAAATAGTTTTTAAATAAACTTTGTAGAAAATAATTAGATTCTTATTTTCAAAACAGAGACAAATCTGTCTTACAAATATGAAACATTCTGAGTCCATTCTGTTTTTCATCATTCTAGGGATGTGAGACTTATTTATGATTTTCAAAATTCTCCTTTGTTCTGCTCAAGTGGATAGAGATATGATTGACATCTTAGATTCAAACTGGATCATCAGGTTCCTTTGCTCTCATGGAGTGTAAATCAGTGCCATTCTCCTTCTTGGAGTCAATACCTATGGATGTTTCACAATATTTTGTTGACCTAGTTACAAAAGAGAAAATGCTATTTCTACATTATGTGTGCATGTATTTATTTATGTGTGTACGTGCAAGCATGCTGGCCAGGGGGGTAACATAGCAGCCTTTGGTCTATAAAACTCCCAAGAAAGAAATGCACTAGTAGGAAAATAATAAGATATAAACTAGCTTGACATAAAAGACCATCAGAATTTACACAT